TTAGTCTGGCTGTAAAAGGTCGGATCTACAACGCGTCGGTGAGAGCAGTTTTGCTCTATGTTTGTGAAACCTGGCCTCTCCGAGTTGAGGATGTTAGACGTCTCTCTGTGTTCGATCATCGTTGTCTCCGAAGGATTGCTGACATCCAGTGGCAACACCATGTTAGTAATGCAGAGGTTCGGCATCGTGTGTTCGGGCGCAGAGACGATAATTCAATTGGTGTCATCATCTTGAAACACCGACTTCGGTGGCTCGGACATGTTTTACGAATGTCGTCCCAGAGACTTCCGCGTCGTGCATTATTTGCCGACCCTGGGACTGGTTGGAGAAAGCGGAGAGGAGGTCAGTGTATGACATGGTGTCGTGGCATGAAAGAGAGCTGCAAAGGGCTAGCTTCCGTTGGTCCTTCACGACTCCCAGGTTGGGGTCCGAGAGATAGTGCAACATAGTGGCTAGAGACGTTATCGGATATGGCTCAGAATAGAAGCCAGTGGCGATCCTGCTGCAACCTTCTTTTACTTTCTACATAAAGAATGGTTCTAACTTTCCTAACTGAAAGAATCTTCTGGTTGTACATTTCAGCCCGCCTTATCTTTTCATCCTTTATCTACCTACTTTCATTATTTTGTGTGGCGCATATGTACCTGGTGCCCTTTTGTACCAATATATATGTGTTTAAATAAATAAAAAATAAGTAAATAAAGGTCTAGTCCACAAAGCAGTAGGGCATCGTAAGGAGATGTAGTCCATGGTAGCCGGTGACCAACAATAGGTTCATACGCCATTCGTTCCATCAGGATACTGGAGCCCACGTGCTCCATTGGTTTGGAATCAGGGTTTTCCAACTCCCCTAGGTGAACATTCCGTGTCCACCAACCCGGTTAAAGCGCCGGACATTTGCTTTTCGTCCTCTCAATTTCGTAAACAACACCTGTGGCACGAGAAGGCAGTGAGTAGGACTTCCCTGGCAGAGGTTGTATACACGTGCTCGTGTGAGAGCATTTCGAGAGTGAGAGCGGACTCTTCCCACTCTCGGCCGTACCAGGGCATTTGGGGGCCCCTGGTAGGAGATCAGTTCCTGAAATTTCAGTCGACGAGAGTGTTATTTCCAGCAATATGTCTATAATGAAGTTAAACAAAAATGAGGATAGTGGACACCACTTGTCGGACACCACTTTAGGTTGTAAAATCAGATGACAGTTCTCCATAAGCTCTCACTTGACTGGTAGTGTTCGAGTAAAGAGCCTTCATAAGGTTTATGTACTTCTGAGGTACACCTTTCAATGACAAACATTGCCACAGAACCTCTCAGTCTACAGAGTCAAATGCTGCTTTCAAACCAAGAAAAAACTATCATTGTCGAACACCGATAAACATGTCTGTGCTCTAAAGCCTGACGAATAGTAAATATGTGGTCGATGCAGCCACAACCAGGTCTGAAGCCAGCCTGATTTTCTCGTGTTTGCAGTTCACGAGTCGTAGTTAGGCACCCGATAATTATTGAGGCTAGTATTTTAGATGCTATGTTAGTCAGACTAATCCCTCTATGGTTATCGCAGGGTGATTTTGGCCCCTTCTTATATATTGGGACAATAAGTGATTGTGACCAGTCGAATGGGATTACGTCCAACTCTCAAATTTTAACCAGAATATTAGTCAGCCTGGTCGCTAAAATTGGGCCACCATATTTAAAGACCTCTGGACCCAATCCATCTGGACCAGCTGCTCTTCCTCGTTTCAGATTGCCTATAGCCTTTTGAACTTCAAGTAGGGTCGGGGGACCTACTTCAATGTTCCATTCGGGTTTTCTGGAAATAGTGGGTAGTTGTGCATTAGCTGAAGGCCAGCTAAACTGCTCCTTAAAGTGTTCCGCCCATCGTTGTAAACGTTTGGGTTGAGAGCAGATAAGGGTTCCGTCTTTTTCGGAGATTGTCTCACTTACACTTGACTTCTTAATTCCGGTTTCTTTTATTAGTCTGAATAGTTGCATGGTGTTACCTACAGCCGCTGCCTTTTCCATCTCTTTTGCTTTCGTTGCCCACCACTGCTCACGGTCGTTCCTTAGACTTTTAGTTAACCTAGATCTAATTTGTTTACGCTCTTCGTCATGTTCAGAGCCTGATGGGATGAGTTTACGCGAATCCATCAGTGAAATAGACTTAGAGGAAATCCATTGGTTTTTTGGAGCCCTATGGTTTAAATGACTAATAGATGTTACTGCTGTTTCCACAGCTGTTCGCATGTCTTTCCAAGCAGTATCTGGGTCAGTCTTGTTTACAGAACTGCCTAGATGTGAACTCAGTTGTTTCTGGAATTCGCATTTGGCTTTCTCGTCCTGCAGTTCAATCCTAATGGGTCTTCTTAGTGTAGTTTTCCTGCGTCCAGTTAGGCGCAGACAAGTGCGTGCTCATATTAAAGCGTGGTCAGAGTCTAAACAAGTATTCCAATACGAGCGACAATCTTCTATTGAGCCTCTCCAACGATGACTGATGACAATATGGTCTATTTGAGTCCATCGTTGGTTGGGTGCAGGTGGTCGCCATGTTAGACGATGTCTCTCCTTATGTTTAAAATTAGTGCTTGCTAAAAATAAACGATTGTCTGAGCATAGTTGCAACAGACGATCACCATTATCGGTTCGTTGAGCCGGAATACTAAAACACCCACCTAAATGTCTTTCTGTTTGATTTAAGCTGCCTACCTGGGCATTAAAGTCACCCGCTACGACTACTATGTCTGAGCGCTCAGCTTTCTGAAGAAGCTCAGATAGCTTTCTGTAAAAGTCATCTTTCATTTCATCATGGCTGCAGTCAGTGGGAGCGTAGGCAGAAACGACGAAAAGGCAACGACGTGTGTCCTTATCCTTCTGAGTTCTTATGGAGCCATTTAGCCGGACAGCACACAGGCGACTGTTAACGGGGATCCATTCTAATAGTGCCTGTTGTGCCCTTGTACTTAGTGCTATGCCTACACCTGCAAGTCCACGAGAACTAGTCATGGGGTCGCCAGATACACGGAGGGTGTATTTCGTTGGCTGTCCATTTTGGCGAGGTGAGGTCAAGTGAATGACCACACTGGGATCCTGTGTGCGTGTTTCGGAGACACAGCATACATCGATGGTGCAAGATTCTAGGGTCTAACCAAGGAGGTCTGTTGACCGATTTGACTTGGGGTACGTACGTTGAAGGCTCCAATATGTAGTTTGGAGCGAGGTTTTAGTAGACCTGGGACAGTGTTGGAGCCCCCAAATGCTATGGTACGGCCGAGAGTGGGAAGAGTCCGCTCTCACTCTCGAAATGCTCTCACACGAGCACGTGTATACAACCTCTGCCAGGGAAGTCCTACTCACTGCCTTCTCGTGTCACAGGTGTTGCTTACGAAATTGAGAGGACGAAAAGTGAATGTCCGGCGCTTTAACCGGGTTGGTGGACACGGAATGTTCACCTAGGGGAGTTGGAAAACCCTGATTCCAAACCAATGGAGCACGTGGGCTCCAGTATCCTGATGGAACGAATGGCGTATGAACCTATTGTGGGTCACCGGCTACCATGGACTACATCTCCTTACGATGCCCTACTGCTTTGTGGACTAGACCTTTAAGTCAAAGGCTCGGGGTGTGGCCCCCTAAGAAAACCACCTGCTTCAGTTTGGTCACCTGGGCAGTATCACAGCAGTCACACAAATCAAATGAGATTTGTGAGGCGCATATTTATCTGGTGCTTCCTTGTACCAATATTTATGTGCTTAAATAAATAAATAACAAACAGTGTTTCGCGCACTATAATCGTTGGCCATGGTGACACTTGAGGAGGAATCCGAAAGAGGAAGTTTAGTGTTGAAAGTTGAGGTAGAAGTAATAGTAGGAATTGAAGGAGATTGATTATGAATACAGTTGTCTTGAGTGCTGTTAGATGTATGAGGGAAATTATCACTTCCCGGTTGCCCACACCATGGAAGGTTTCTTCTAGAGGTACCTGAAAAGGAAATTGAGTTCAAAGTGGTCTTAATGACCTGAGAGCGTGACCGCAGTGCTCAAGGGACAACTGCTTGAGGTCGGTCACACACGACCTTTTTGTGCGTAGTTTTGTGTTAACTCCGTTCTTCAAAGGACCTTACCGCCGGAGACGAATATCCGAGGGATAAGGCGAGATGTGCATTTTTAGGGTCGACCTTTTTTAACCCCACCCCTCCTTGATGGCAGCATCGCCGTTATGCTGGTTGGCTGAAGGAAACACCTTACTGCTGTCACACCTCTGTACAGTCAGCAGTACGACTTCGCCTTCGGACCTTGGGTTGATTATAACCTGTCCAGTTTCTTGTTCATTTTATTACTGGATATTTGACAACAGAATAGTGTTCATAAGCTTATTGAACCGATATTCAAGATTTGGTTCATCGTTCTAGTTAACTAGTTAGGGAGTTGATCACAGATTCATTTCCATCAGTTATATACTTGTTAATAGTAATCTTTTTCAGCTCAATCTCTTTGTGTAATCTAAACAGTTATCTACTGTGACCTATTCTCATCACCTTTTTCATCTCTTTTGGTTTCGTTTTTCAACTCCACATGAGTTCATTGTTGAGAAGTGTCCGTCAATTTATGCTAATAATTATATTCAAAGACAGTCAAAATGAGTTTACTTGTATATTTTATTCTTGAAAAAAACCATCTAAGCTTGCTTATATTCCCTAGCATTCTAATGAAACTTGTTTACAGTCATTACTCATGTTTTTATAGTAAACTAGAGATGATACCAAATTAACTCGGTATGAAAACGCAATAAATCGCCTACTTAGCGCCAAAGTATTTTTGTCAAATATCCAAATACCAGGAGTGCCTAATGTGCGTTTCCACCACACCTAACGGGTGTTGTTAAGTGAGTAACCAAACTTGGACATTTTAAGTTTCTTTACTTTAGCTCAGAGTCCTCTTAAATTTTACTTTACAATATAAGAAACTTCTCGATGAACGTAATAAACTTATTTTTTCCTAAATTTAGGTTTGTTTACGCTATCCTGATCATCCCATTCCAAGAGATTCAAGAACTTTTGTTTCGAATTCTCTTTCGGATGCAGTAGAGTTAATTCAGTCTGTCTTCAATGGAATTTCCAAATCCAATGGTATTCGGTTACGAACTTCTGGAAAACTTTTAGAAGCTTTGGATGAGTTTGAAGTAATACATTATGTGGTAACGAATGAAACTTATTAAAAGAAAAATAAAGACATTTCAATGAAGAAATTCAACAAAAATATTATTGATATTAGAAATTAAGTTGTAATTTAATAGTTAAATCCATTAATCGATTTAAGCTAGACCGCCATTGAAAACCTGGAAGCATTAGACGGTCTTTTCGTCCTAGTATGGGACTTCTCAGCAGTGCGCATCCACGATCCGGCAAGCGGGAATCGGACCCATGACCTTCGGTCTCCGACATCCAACGGTGTTCATGTCTAACTTCAACCAATCCACGATGTTGTGCGACCTTTCACCATTTTCTTCAGTGAGTAGCTGCTTCACAATAGACACAGTTGAACCCCACTGCTTACGGCTTCTCACTACAACTCCAGGAAATGCATCTTCCAGGTTCTCAGTGGTGGTGTAGCTTAAATGGACTCATTAATTCAACTATTAAATTACTACATCTCACAAACTCCCTCTCTGAAAATTGAATTGTCTTTATTTTTCATCAAATGACAATGTTTTGTGTATTATAAGTAACTTATTCTGATTCTAGAAAATGGTTTCTCTTCCTATGTCAAATAACCATTTATTCTAACGTTGTATATCTATTCAATTATTTTTTAATTTCACAAAGCTCTTATTCATAATAATTTGTAAGAGGAGGTTTTTACGTTTTGATTAGACGAAATATTGACCGTCAAAATCATTGTGTGAAATGCTAATTGATAGATAAATGCGGTGATATAGTGTAAGCAAGTAATAGCTGCTCATGAGACCTCATGCTTGACTCAGGCCCTCAAATGATTAGAAATCAAAGACAAGACCACTAGCCATATGAGTAGTTTTTTGTGTATTGGGAATACATGCCTACATAAAAAGGATGAATACAAAATAAATATGACAAAATATCATAATTGATTTTAGAAAATTTGCTTGTAGGTAAATCATTCTCTAACCACTTAAGACCTGACTGTTAGGCGTAATCGGGCATCGTATCAGTTTCCGACTATTTAGGTTAGTATTAACATATTCAATAATATAATTCATTTATCGAATACGAGTTTGATCATGTATTTACATCACTAAACCATAACTTCATTTGAGACATGATTGGTAAAAAATGTCGGATCTATCAATATACAGATAAATAAAAATAAACATACAATAGTCCTAATGTTAGTGGTTTTTAAAAATGATGAATATAGCAATAAACTGCTAGTTGCATAAAACCAACGTAGAACACAGATATTAGCTGTTATCTTGACTTGGTGATAGGGCTTTCCTGTCGTGGTGACCCAACCGAGCTATATTGGCTCGAACAGATGTTCCTTTAGGTTCTACCATCCTAAGCAGGTCGGTTGGAGAACGTTAAGCAACTTTAGGCCCTAGGGTGAAGTCGCACCTCTGTGACAGCATTAAGCCGTTTCGATTATGGCGAGCTGTCGTCGGGATTGGTTACTTCAGGTGGTTGTCCGCTTTCCCCATTTTTATTTAACTTCGTAATGGACATGCTCTTAGAGATAACACTTTCATCGTGTGACTTCTCAAGGATTGATCCTTTTCCATCAGATTCGCTTGTTGACTTAAAACACACAGATGATATAGTTCTGTTTGGTGAAGTCGTTAACAAAATGCAATCCTCTGACCACTTTAAGCAACAATGCAAACTTGTCTGGGATGCGGCTATCTCCGTCCAAATGCAAGACTTTATTTCAGGATTGGCGTACTCCATCGCCTGAATTAAGGATAGGTAGTGAACTCATCGACCGCTTCACTTATGTTAAGGGTCTCATAAGTACTGATGATCTGGTGTCTAACGAAATCTCGGCACCGATTCAGAAGGCTCGATTGGTTTTCGCCAACTTACGTCACTTGTGGAGTAGGCGAGATATCCGTCTGCCCACCTAAGGACGAGTTCAATGTGTAGGAGTTTGCTTCGTTCTACTTTATTGGTTTGAATATGGCCATTAAGAACAGAATATTCGTGGGTTACTGGTATTCGGTCATAGGTGTCTACGAAGCATTGCTCGTGTATTTTGGGACCAGTTCCTGGGTTGAGAATAGATTACTAGGTGATGCTGGGAAATCGATTAAAAATGTAGCGCATCTTTATCAATTGATGTGGTTCGAACATGTGTTACGTATGCTCAACTACCACCCGTCTTGACGGGTGATATTTTTTGGTGTGCTGGAAGAAAGCTACGGGCGACCAAACCAAAATATGACATCAGTTCATGAAGTCATTGGCAATTGGATTTAGCCATGTTTATAGGTGTAGACTATTTGGTTGGAGTCTGCGTGATTATTGTAACCAATGGTTAGAGACTTTGAATGACATGGCTCGAAATCGTTTGCGATGACGCGCATGCATTCATTCTTTGTCTTCCTCTAATTTCCGAAATCCTAAATTCCTCATAACTTTCGTTTTTATTTCACTAATTTCTATTTTTTTTTCGAATCGTATCTTCGATGTCTAATCTTTCCTTTTAACAATGATGTTAAACAAGTGAAGATATGAGATTCTATTGGGTTTTATATCACTCAGCTACATTGAATCAATTTTTCTGTTTGATTATGACACTTGTTTATCTCGATTCTAGTTCTGTTTGTTTAAAAAAAATTCGGAAATTAAATTATCACCATTATTCATGTATTTTTTCAGAATAGTCTATTTACTAATCCGGATCAAAAATCGACTGTACACATACAAGAGCATATTCAGTCTTCGTTAAAAGGACTATTATCATCCATTTATAAGTTGGTGGATTCATCGAAATTAAATTCAAAACGACGTTCTGCTATTGATGAGTATTGTACTCAGCTTAAGAATATTACATCTGAATTAATATCAGAATATTCTAAGAAAGTAAGTATTAGTTGTTAAATCAACATTTAATCATTGTGTTTTATACAGAGTGTAAACATCCATAGAATATCAATCGTACTTATTTTAGGAGTTAACAGTAGTCAGTCATTGTAAATATAGAATCAGACACGAATTCGTGTCAATTTAAGTTGTCACAACTCATATCAGTGCTGTGATAGACATAATGAACACAATGAGAAGCAGATGAGAGAAATTCATCTCAACTATAATGAAAATCTTAACATGGTAAATACTGTTGCAAAAAGAAGAAATTTGACCAAAGAATGAAAAGTTGGGAAATTACAATTTGAAGGACTATAAAAAAGAAATGTTAAGGGATCATTAAGGCCAATCGTATGGTTCATGCATTCTGTTGCGAAAAATAGCTAGTCATTATTTTGCCTTAGGTTAAATAACACAAGATCTTATTTTGGTGAGATTGTCCATTTTTCCGATTTATTAAGTTGAAGAAAATTAAGGCCGTCCAAACCAATATGTCACATAACTTCATGAAGTAATTGGCTGTTGGATGGAGCCGTGTAGATAGGAACATACTACATAGTTTCGGGTCCACGCGATTGTCGTAACTATTGTTTTGAGATTTTGGGATGCCTGAGAATCGGTTACAGTTTCACAGATGCATTCATCCTCCTGTTAAAGTACTTGTTTTCAAACAATACAGAATTAAAGCTCACTACAAAATAACTAACACCCTTCAGAATGCTTTAGCTCTCATAAAGGAAAAAAAGTCCCCTTATTTCAACATAGAATTATGTCTACAAATTAGAATGTGCCGATTGTGGTACATTCTATATTGAACAGTCATCTCGCGAAATCTTGAGTCGAGCCAAAGAACACCCTAGCTACACAAAAATTCACCTAATAATCCTGTAGAAGTTGAAAAACTCTAAATTAAATCGACAATAACAGTCCATGCCATTTTCAACAACCACCAAATCGATATTAAAAATATCAAAATAATACTAAAAAACTTTTCCAGCTACTAAGTTAGGGGAGTAGCTAAAGCTTTCCATATAGTGCTTAGTCCTACTGCCCTCAATAGAAAAGAAGGCTTCACCATCTATCCAAACTACCATATCTCATTCTATTCACATCTCACACCATCATCACAAATACAAAGTCAACTCTATCTTTTCACGTTACAGATGTCATATTTTTCATATTCGTTAACATACATTCAGATACACAATTATATGTCTGATATAAATCACTTAGATTGGAGTGACATGACATTGACTTGGTCAGACCTGTTTTTGATTGATTGCACTAAATATTCTTGTTTTACTCCTTTATACTATTTAAACTTGGGTTAATTTTGTTTGTTTATTTATTCTCTAAGGCGTCAGAAAATTTAATTTTTCTACTTATTAGGATATTACAAATCTATTATTTTTATTAGTAAAATCCTTACAATTTTTCTTCGAGTATATTCTTCTCGAATCGTATTGTCTATTTATATTGTGTTTGCTTAGTTTTTCCCTCCCATTGATAATATTAATACTTCTACTACTCTAATATTTGTCTTGTTAATTTGATCTCTTCTATGCTGATATCCTATGGCAACTTGAATTATGTTTCAAATTATATGTTGCTTATGATTGTAACTGAATATTTGTACGAAAAAAGAGGTTTACTTCTGTTTAGTTTACTTCAACTAGATTAACAAGCCTCCAAATGCCCTGGTACGGCCGAGAGTGGGGAGAGTCCGCTCTCCCTCTCGAAATGCTTTCACACGAGCACGTGTATACAACCTCTGCCAGGGAAGTCCTACTCACTGCCTTCTCGTGCCACAGGTGTTGTTTACGAAATTGAGAGGACGAGAATCGACCGGGTTGGTGGACACGGAGAGTCCACCTAGGAGATTTGGAAAGCCGTGATTCCAAACCAATGGTGCACATGGGCTCCAGTTTACAATTATCTCAAAATAAATATCCAACATCTATTAACTGAGTTATTAATATCAAGAGGCTTTGCTTGTATGTTCTTTACGAATGGTAATTCAGTTACGAATAGGCTATCGTTTTTTTGTAGTGATAATCTAGTTTGATTCATAACAAGTAACAAAGGTGACTGTAGTTAGAAACAATTTAAATCATTGTGATTAAGTATGTTATATCTAAGTTATACAGTTTTATTTGCTCACTAGTAATTAGTTCGAAGATAAATTTAAACAATTTTTATTATGAAGCTAATAACCTATGTAACCAGATTAATTGTAGTTGAAATAATAACTCTTTTATGACTCTAAATTCGTACATTCTATGCATATTGTAAGTTGACCAAAAGTAATCATGTCTATCATGAAATTCCTACTCATGGGTCACACTTAATCATAAATAATGTTCATGAAACGTTTATTCAATCTTCTATGTGATTTTAAATGCATATTACCAAGGATGGTACTCTTAAAACTAGAATAAGACAGATATCCTCTAATACTTTACATTTTTCAATAATTCTACTGTCCATCTCAATTCATAATGAAATTCGATATTTTTTTCTATTTCTACTCACTTTTCAATTGTTTCTACAGTTGTATATAAGATTAGCAGTAGGTAGTCATAAATCTCTCGCATCTGCTGGGGTCACCGGGTAAGTAATAGTGAGGTTAGACATAGGGTATTAGGGAATGATGGTAAATCAAATGATGAGGTGATGAATCTTCATCTACTGAGATGGTTGGGCCATGTGTTACGTATGCCTGAACACCGATTACCACGACGCGCTATGTTGACTAGTGTAGAGGATGGTTGGAAGAGAATTAGGGGCGGCCAAACCAAAACGTGGCATCAGTGCTTGAAGTGACTAACTTCTAGTCTGAGCCATGTTGGTAGATGCAGACTACCTGGTTGGGGTCCGCACGACTATCGTAACCAATGGTTGGAGACTCTAGGTGACATGGCTCAAAATCGATCACAATGGTGTAGGTGTATACACTCTTTATCTTCCCTTAAACCTTAAGATTAAAATTACGTCATAACGTTCTTCCTTCCTATACTATATCCTTATATACAACCTTTCTTTTATATACTACCACCACTAAATTAGCTACTTCTATGAATCCGGTGTTCATCTTCCTGTGCTAACGAGGTATGGCAACTTGGACCGATGTATAAATGTGCCTGGTCCTACGTTGTAGCTGACTGACTGACTACTACTTCTACCACTATGGGATTTGAATCGACAACTGCATCTCTGTGCTAATGTGGTATGGCAACTCGAACTGATGTACGTACGTACGAAGTTCTACGTTGTGACTGACTGACTGAGTCATAGATTGGAAAGACAATGAGAACTACCTGAATGAACCATTCAGTTCAGTGAAAATATCTCTGATAAAACAACTATGTAACATCATACATCTAATGGATTTCTTTATAGCATCACGTTAACGTTGTAAATTATACTTTTATGTAAATCAAGATTTGTTTTTTATTTCAATTTAGACAGTTGACACTAGAGAGACAGAGAAAATTATACAGAAATTATTAAAAACTATCAATTCATTAAAACAACTACTTATTCGTTGTACTATTGATTCAACATCGAATGCTTTTATGTCTAAAGAAACATGTTTAATGGCATTAAATGATGCAACAAAATTTGGATGTGATCAACGTATTGATGCAGCTTGTCAATTATTTCAGGTGAGATTTAATTAAAGTTTATTATTACTTTACTTACTTTCGCCTGTTACTCCCAATCGAGCATAGGCCGCCGACTAGCATTCTCCAACCCACTCTGTCTTGGGCCATCTTTTCTAGTTCTATCCAGTTTTTATTCATTCTCCTCATATCTATCTCTATTTCTCGGCGTAATGTGTTCTTTGGTCTTCCTCTTCTCATTTGACCATTCATGATTCCATGTGAGGGCTTCCAGGTTTTCCATGGTGGTCTAGCTTCAATTGACTCATGATTTCAACTATGAAAATACTAAATTCTCCACAAAACCTCTTCTGATCTAAAGTTTATTATAATTAGTATTAAATTATTCATTTGTAATTTATCAGAATATAACTGACTTCTCACTATTTGATATCTTGTCTTGTATTGTTGAATCGGTAGCTATGTAGTAGTTAAAATATTCTATTTTCATTTGGTGAGTCATACATTCAAACTATGCTAACTAATCACGTAATTCAATTCGTTCACTCAGATAGAGTATAACAGAACTTTCTACATATAGTGAGACTAAAAACTGTACTTAATTTCATTATATTTAGTGGCTATTGAATTGTTTATACTTAGTTTTGCAAAAATTAAAACATTGTTATTAATAAAGTTGTTTGAAGAGATGTGATTATTAGTAGTACTGGTCTTGTTGACAATACAGTGATGATTTAGTGGTGAATAAAGTAATTGATTCTTAATTAAAAAGTTATAAGTTCAAACTCCCGATTCATCTACTTTGAACTGAATAATTGTTATCGATCTCGTATGAAGTACAACTCGAGGTCGTGTATACAAATCTGTACAGGGTTACTAAGTTATATAAAAAAGTTTTCCGAAGAAAATAATGATAAATGTAGCTTAAAAGGTCACTTTCTCAACTATAAAGTAAATAGTTGAGTGTTTCACAAACAGTATACTCTCCCTTCAATAGAAAAAATTGTTATCTTACCCATATCATATTTGAGTATACGTTGGTAATGGTCAGTTGGATTTTTTTGAATTCATGCCAATATTTTGTTAGTCACGAACTCACTAAAAATACCAAATCTGTATTCATCATCTTACTATTTCTACCATTAAACTGAATGTGTCAATGATAATCTGAGTACGAAACTGCAAAAGTATATATAACCAAATCATCCTATTTCATATCTCCTATTTTTATTGTTTATTTAAACATACGAATATTCTAACTGATTGTACCAACCCCTGAATACTTGTTTTTTAAAAATTATCAAATGAACAATTATTGTCGATGTTTGGATGTTTAAAATAACTAATAATTGGCTAGAATTAATGTAACTTATCTACGTAGTAATGATGAAAGTAAACTCAACTTTGAGTTGTTATAAAATTTGTATGATTTTTGATAGTGTTGTCATACTACTACTACTACTGTGGTGTATGCTACTTATTTCGACAGATATAAATAGTATGTAACACCAATCGAAAGTGGAAAACCGGGCAGCAGAGAGAGAATAGGCTGGAAAATAGAAATGAATTGTGAACTTGAAGAATCATAGAGAATGTAAAGGACAAATGATGGCGATTCGCAAATGAAGTATTTAGTGTATGATTTTTATATTTTACCATTATACTCTGTCATTCTGTATTAAAATACATCGGTTGTCCACACTTGTGTTTCCAACACTTTTACTACTCTGTTGTTATCCCCTACCCGAAAATCACGTAATTAGAACGATGAAATTTCATCCTACAACTTACAATTCTTTAATACTCCATGAAGCATTAAAGAAATGCTAAATTCTTTGTCTAAAATCTCATTTTATTCCTCTATATGTTTTTATTTTTTTCTACATTCAGAAACGTTCTGTATCTATGATATCATCTGCTTATCAATTATGTTCATTGAGTACAGACGAAGAATGTTGCAGTAAAATTCAATTAGCTTGTCAACAAATTGAACAACTTGTTCCGCAGTTAATTAATATAGCTTATTTACTATTTAAATATCCATCTTCTAAGGTAAATTGTTTAATTTTACGCATTTTTCAATATTTTTTTCAAAGGAAAAATTGTGTGATTGTTAGCGCAATATATATTAGATTAAAGCATATTCCACGCAGGATTGTGTTGACTGCTTCTTAACCAATCAGCGCTAGCGGATACTTGAAGAAGACTTTTGAATCTGCTTATTTAAAAATTATAATGATTCCTACTTGCACCCAATCATTCTTATTTGGAATATAATGCCCTGGTACGACCAAGAGTAAGGAGAGTTCACTCGCCTTCTCAAAATGCTCTCATATCGCCACGCGTATATAGCCTCTGCCAGGGAAGTCCTACTCACTGCCTTCTCGTGGCGGGGGTGTTGTTTACGAAATGGAGAGGACGAAAAGCGGATGTCTGGCGCTTTAACCGAGTAGATGGTCACGTAATGTCCACCTAGGGGAGTTGGAAAACCCTGATTCCAAACCAATGGTGCACATGGGCTCCAGTATCTTGAGGGAACAAATGGCGTATGAATTAGTCGTTGGTCACCGGCTACCATGGGACTACGTCTCCTTACAATGTTTCACTGCCTTGTGGATTAGAACTTTAGGTCAAAGGCTCTGGGTGTGGCCCCCTAAGAAAACCACCTGCTTCAATTTGGTCACCTGCGAAGTATCCCAGCCCTCAGTCAGTCAGTCAGCTACAACGTAGGACCAGGCACATTTATGCATCGGTCCAAGTTGCCATACCTCGTTAGCACAGGAAGATGAACACTGGATTCATAGAAGTAGCTAATTTAGTGGTGGTAGTATATAAAAGAAAGGTTGTATATAAGGATATAGTATAGGAAGGAAGAACGTTATGACGTAATTTTAATCTTAAGGTTTAAGGGAAGATAAAGAGTGTATACACCTACACCATTGTGATCGATTTTGAGCCATGTCACCTAGAGTCTCCAACCATTGGTTACGATAGTCGTGCGGACCCCAACCAGGTAGTCTGCATCTACCAACATGGCTCAGACTAGAAGTTAGTCACTTCAAGCACTGATGCCACGTTTTGGTTTGGCCGCCCCTAACTCTCTTCCAACCATCCTGTAAACTAGTCATCATAGCGCGTCGTGGTAATCGGTGTTCAGGCATACGTAACACATGGCCCAACCATCTCAGTAGATGAAGATTCATCACCTCATCATTTGATTTACCATCATTCCCTAATACCCTATGTCTAACCTCACTATTACTTACCCGGTGTTCGCAGCAGATGCGAGCAATATTTCTAAGACATCTGTGGTCAAATACTAGTAACCTACGAGTATCTTCTACTCTTAATGGCCATGTTTCACAACCGTAAAGTAGAACAGAGCGAACTGCTGTGCAGTATTCTCGTCCCTTAATTGATAGACGGATATCTCCTCTTCGCCATAGGTGACGTAAGTTGGCAAAAGCCAAACGAGCTTTTCGAAACCGTGCTGAGATTTCGTCATACACCAACCCATTAGGGCTGATCAGACTTCCAAGATAAGTGAAGTTGTCGACGCGTTCGATTACTTCACTCCCTATCCTTAGTTCAGGTGTTGATGCAGGCCAGTCCTGGAGTAACAATTTACATTTGGATGGGGAGAATCGCATCCCAAACATCCTGGCATTATTACGGAGTTCTAACAGAAGACTCTGCATTTTGTCGGCGTCTTCACCAAACAGGACTATGGCATCTGCGTATTCGAATTCGCTTAGTGGTCCCCCTGGTAGGAGATCAATTCCTGTAAATTCAGTCGACGAGAGTGTTATTTTCAGCAATATGTCTATAATGAAGTTAAACAAAAATGAGGATAGTGGACACCACTTGTCGGACACCACTTTAGGTTGTAAAATCAGATGACAGTTCTCCATAAGCTCTCACTTGACTGGTAGTGTTCGAGTAAAGAGCCTTCATAAGGTTTATGTACTTCTCAGGTACACCTTTCAATGACAAACATTGCCACAGAACCTCTCGGTCTACAGAGTCAAATGCTGCTTTCAAACCAAGAAAAAACTATCATTGTCGAACACCGATAAACATGTCTGTGCTCTAAAGCCTGACGAATAGTAAATATGTGGTCGATGCAGCCACAAACAGGTCTGAAGCCAGCCTGATTTTCTCGTGTTTGCAGTTCACGAGTCGTAGTTAGGCACCCGATAATTATTGAGGCTAGTATTTTAGATGCTATGTTAGTCAGACTAATCCCTCTATGGTTATCGCAGGATGATTTTGGCCCCTTCTTATATATTGGGACAATAAGTGATTGTGACCAGTCGAATGGGATTACGTCCAACTCTCAAATTTTAACCAGAATATTAGTCAGCCTGGTCGCTAAAATTGAACTACCATATTTAAAGACCTCTGGACCCAATCCATCTGGACCAGCTGCTCTTCCTCGTTTCAGATTGCCTATAGCCTTTTGAACTTCAAGTAGGGTCGGGGGACCTACTTCAATGTTCCATTCAGGTTTTTTGGGAATAGTGGGTAGTTGTGCATTAGCTGAAGGCCAGCTAAACTGCTCCTTAAAGTGTTCCACCCATCGTTGTAAACGTTTGGATTGAGAGCAAATAAGGGTTCCGTCTTTTTCCGAAATAGTTTCACTTACACTTGACTTCTTAATTCCGGTTTCTTTTATTAGTCTGAATAGTTGCATGGTGTTGCCTACAGCTGCTGTCATTTCCATCTCTTTTGCTTTCGTTGCCCACCACTGCTCACGATCGTTGCTTATATTTTTAGTCAACCTAGATCTGATTTGTTTTCGCTCTTCATCGTGTTCAGAGCCTGATGGGATGAGTTTACGCGAATCCATCAGTGAAATAGACTTAGAAGAAATCCACTGGTTTTTTTGGAGCCCTATGGTTTAAATTACTAATAGATGTTACTGCTGTTTCCACAGCTGTTCGTATGTCTTTCCATGCAGTATCTGTGTCAGTCTTGTTTACAGAACTGCCTAGATGTGAACTCAGTTGTTTCTGGAATTCGCATTTGGCTTTCTCGTCCAGCAGTTCAATCCTAATGGGTCTTCTTAGTGTAGTTTTCCTGCGTCCAGTTAGGCGCAGACAAGTGCGTGCTCATATTAAAGCGTGGTCAGAGTCTAAACAAGTATTCCAATACGAGCGACAATCTTCTATTGAGCCTCTCCAACGATGACTGATGGCAATATGGTCTATTTGAGTCCATCGTTGGTTTGGTGCAGGTGGTCGCCATGTTAGACGATGTCTCTCCTTATGTTTAAAATTAGTGCTTGCTAAAAATAAACGATTGTCTGAGCATAGTTGCAACAGACGATCACCATTATCGGTTCGTTGAGCCGGAATACTAAAACACCCACCTAAATGTCTTTCTGTTTGATTTAAGCTGCCTACCTGGGCATTAAAGTCACCCGCTACGACTACTATGTCTGAGCGCTCAGCTTTCTGAAGAAGCTCAGATAGCTTTCTGTAAAAGTCATCTTTCATTTCATCATGGCTGCAGTCAGTGGGAGCGTAGGCAGAAACGACGAAAAGGCAACGACGTGTGTCCTTATCCTTCTGAGTTCTTATGGAGCCATTTAGCCGGACAGCACACAGGCGACTGTTAACGGGGATCCATTCTAATAGTGCCTGTTGTGCCCTTGTACTTAGTGCTATGCCTACACCTGCAAGTCCACGAGAACTAGTCATGGGGTCGCCAGATACACGGAGGGTGTATTTTGTTGGCTGTCCATTTTGGTGAGGTGAGGTCAAGTGAATGACCACACTGGTATTCTGTATGCATGTTTCGGAGACACAGCATACATCAATGGTACGAGATTATAGGGTTTTAGCTAAGGCATCTTCGTCTGGTCTTGCTGGCGTTGGTGTCGCACTAAGCGCTAGGGCTGAGGCAGCACTGATCGATTGGATCCCCATTAACAGTCGGTTATGTGCTATTTGATTAGAAAGTTCCATCAATGTGAGAAGAAATGGGCGTGAGAAACGGTGTCTTTTCGTCATCTCCGCCTATGCCCCGACAGATTGCAGCCCGGATGCAATCAAGGATGAGTTTTACCATCAGTTAACAGTTCTTCTCCAGAAAGCGCGTTCGACAGATATTGTAGTACTAGCCGGAGACTTGAATGCACAGGTCAGGCGTCTAGGCACAGAAGAGAGACGTTTAGGTGGCCGATGGGGACTTGTTGGTCGCAGGACAGATAACGGGGACCGTTTGCTGCAACTGTGAACAGATCACAACCTGTTTTTGGCTAGCACTAACTTCCGGCACAGTCATCGCCGGTGTGCCACCTGGCGTCCTCCCTCTGCATCCCAAGCCTGGACTCAGATTGATCACATCGCGATCAGCTACCGCTGGCGTGGTTGTATACAAAACTGCCGCTCCTTTTGGAGTACCTATCTGGAGTCTGATCATGCCCTGGTCTGTGCCAATCTCACCTTACTTTTCAGTGGCCGAAGGATTGACCACCACCAACGGATTGATGTTAGTAAACTGGCTGCAACTTCTGTTGCAAGTAAGTATCGAGCGGAGCTAGCCTCTAGGCTAGCTACCACCCCACCGAAAAGTATAGATGAGCATTTGTTGCTTCTTCACGACGGCTTTGCGAAACGTCCCGCTTACAAGCACTGGGTTTCTTCTGGCTCCTTACAACTGATGGAAGCCCGTCGGTCTACTCCGGGTGACCGTGAGTTTGACCACAAATGAAGGCTGTTACGTAATGAAATCGGGCAAAGCTTGCGTAAGGACCGGGAAGCCTGGTGGTCAGAGCGTGCTAATGAGATGGATGCAGCAGCTGCATCTGGTAACTGCCGGAAGCTCTTCCAACTCATCCGAGCCACTGGCAGCAAGAAGTCTGGTGTGAGTGAAACAATCTACGAGGATGATGGGATGCCAATCACTAATATCTCTCGACGTTTTGGACGATGGGCGGAATTTTTCGAAGGGCAGTTCAACTGGCCTGCTGCTCCGGCAACATCAACCAGGTTGTCCTGCCTCCATGGCCGGTGACGACTGATCCACCAAACGAGGCGGAAGTCCGC